ATTTGACAATTACGATGCAAATGTATTCTGACGTCAGAATTCTAGTGGTCCCGATCGGCTTATCGGTGAGACTGGCGAACATATTCGAAGCTTGCACCCTCTCACACAGCTGAATTCTAGCAAAAATACTAGCAAAAAGATTAAAGTTTCCTTCCAAAACTTATTATTCCCGACCAAAAAGGGTTTGTAAGGAAAAGTCAGACATATAACCGAGGCAATTTAAATGATACAGGACTATATTGATGTTATAGATGAAGAGGTTATAGTCGTCTTCTTGGAATAAAACAGCCTTTGGCCGGATGGAATGGTAGGGCTTGACTTCGTTACGAATGAATTTAATTTTCGGAAACATTGTCGCATTAGGGTTCAAATGCTATGAAAAGGACACTCATATGTACTTAAACAAACGGTTATGTCAGAAATTACTTTTTAATTTCGCTATCAGCCAGGCAAAGGTGTCTCATAGCCCCAGTTTTTTTTTATATATGTAAGACTCTGAACTGCGATTGTATTCCGAATCGCGATTGTCACGCTGATGTGCTTTTACGCTGTAGTGCGTCTTTGATCACACAGAAGAGTGCTGATTTCATTGTAGCGCTATCTTTGTGATAGCTACGCCGAAGTGCATTATTGGCTGAAGAGCGATGGATTACATAAATGATATTTTCAATGTTTTTCATGTTCACGTGTCGATGTAGAAGTGTATTTTTGTCTATGTAGTAGCTTTTCTGTATTTTTCAATGTTAAATATCGGGAGTAAAACCTGTTTAATTCAAAACAGTCATGATAAAAAGTCATTGCATTTTCCGTCTTCACTGTAACGGCGTAGTGTACATTATACTTTGCAAATAGCTTAAAAAACAGTCGTTCTGATAATGTTTCAGAAATTCATGCTACATGGAAAAGCTATTGTTATGCCCCATTTACGGGCATTATGTTTTTCGGTATGTGCGTCCGTTGGTCCGTTCGTTCGTTCGTCCATTTGTTCGTCTGTCTGTTCCGTTTCAGGTTAAAGTTTTAGGTCAAGATAGTTTTTGATGAAGTTGAAGTGCAATAAACTTGAAACTTAATACACATGTTTCCTATGATATGATCTTTCTAATTTTCTAATTTCTTGTTTCCTTTTAAACCAGTACCAATTGAAATGACTGAAAAAATGTGGTAGTTGTTTGAGATGCAAATCAGAACAAAGAATAAGATGGATCATCGATTTTTTTTACTGAATCTAGAGAAAATATTGAACGTATGATATGTATATACTAACTTTTAAAAATATCAAGCTCTCATAATAATTGGTCATCTGTAAATTTGAAACTAGCGACCATGCATCTTATTGACCATCGCACATCGGCGATAGGACCATCGCACTTCGGCGCAGACCATCGCAATTCAGCGTCCTTATCGCATATCCGAGTCCTACATATATATTACTGACAAAGTCCTTAGCCTGTGCGATAAGGACAGAAAAGGCATTCAAGGCTCTGCACTGCCCGGGGAAGGTGATTAGGAGACACTAGAAAACCAAGTCAAAATATTTGCAGACGCCAACTGTTCAATAAAACTGAAATTTCCGTTCAAAATTATAAAAAAAAATCAAATCAAACATAAGCTATTGGTGATATATTGAACGATAATTCTAAAGATTTTAAATCAAGTAATGAAATATACCAACAATTAACAGATAATTTTATAATTATTGTTAACTGTATTTCGGAATCCGCACGTAAAAAACCAATGATGTTCAACGCACTTTAACAAGGCACAAAATCTAATTTTCTGAAAGCTTTGAATTTCTTAATCTAGGTAACCAAATCATTAAAATATATAAATATGGAAATGAGACCTATAAGTGTCAAACGAAATCGGAAAATCTATATAGCAATCTCATTAAAATGGATATTTATAGAAAAGTCACCAATTGCAATGAAAATGTATACATAGAATAATATATACCGAAAAAAAATTTCATATAATGAATCTGGCAAACAGAACATATTACTCAAGTATTACGATAAGTTTATTTACACAGATGTTTTAGTATTTAACATATGTATGTTCCACAAAACTTTTTAACATACCCATTTAACTTTGAGGACCTGGCGTCGTTGTTCAAATACAGACATTACTGGTAAAAAAACTATTCCAGTACTGTAAATAACACTGATATATCAGTAATGCAATCGTTTATCACAGTAAATCTAAATATGCATGGTAAAAAATGTACATCATAATTAAATTTATCGGCAGATCAACATAAAGAAGAATACAAAAGTAGTTCAACTATTCCTTTCGAAACCATATTTTCTGAACATAAGTAAACCCTATTGCTGTCATTGATTTCAACGGAAAGAAAATTATGAAAAATATATGGATAATGTATTTTGAACAATAAGGGGGAATAGTGCGGTGACTGAAGGCAGATATTTTTGTATAGACTGAAAGGAAGAAGGCAGAGACAATTCCTCAGAAGTTGGGCATTCTTCTGTGGACATCTGAAGAGTTTCGATGTCTTTTCTAAGTATACTTGCAGCGGAATGCAGTATCTGTTCCTTATTTGTGTCTATTATTGTTGACATTGATGCCTGCATCTCAGAGATTTTGAGGTCAGCTTTTAATTGACTAGCAGCTGATATGGCATCTCCAATATTTATGTTGCTACTGAATATTATGTTAGCTTTGCCTTTACCTTATTGTGGTTGTTTAGATTGCAGTTTCCAAGTAGAATATTTTAACTTAGAATCAGTACGAAGCAAAGATCTATATTTATCAAGTAACGTTGTCGTGAGGAATGCTTTTTGCACCATTAAATCGTTGTCAATTGCCAATATAAAATTAGTAAAAGGAGTACGTGATCTGAGATTTCTGCTTCCAGAGGATCAGATTTTTGTTTTTTCGTTTTTTGCAAATATTTTGTAATGCAACCAGAATGAAAAGGTGCTTGAAGTTTAAAAGATGGATGAGAAACTATTTCAACTTTCAAATTATTGTCATTCCTTTCTGCCACGGCTAACACATTCTTAATACGCTCATCTGATTCAAACTTGTGGAGTTTTCGATCTTTCTTAAATGTTTTGTTGTAACAAAATATACAAGAAATCCAGTCGAACGTCTGAATTCTAGAACGCGTACAAACACCTAAAACTGAGGGACAACAGTCCGAAGATTGTCTGTCGTCATTAAATGTCAGGTTAGAAACTCTGTTTACTTGTGTAACTTTTTGTAGCATGAACGATGGTAATTAAACTGCCTGCAATTCTTCAAATTCACAACTATCAAATGAAACAAATTCATATAGAATCTTGATGTACACCTCATCCAATCTTTTATTCTAGTCGATGTTTTTTTGGCATAGTATGCACTGCATAAAATTTAAAGACTTTCTTCTTTTCGGACTTGACGAATCGTACATGTCGCGGAATTATAACTGAAACTATTCGTTAATTATTTTTATTTAATACAATAAGACTTATCTGACAAAGTGTATTTGACGGACTATAACAAACTTTGTATCATTTATTAGTGCATTTAATTGAAAATAGTTGTATATAATAGCGAAAAAGGTAGTAATTTCATATATCTGTTGAGCGCAAATTATTGACCATAAGGTTTAATAATACACAAAATGTGATGGAAGGGAAGTGATTAAGTTCCGTCTTGAAATTGAAGTTTTTTACTCTATTCTTTTTTCCGTTGATTTCTTACGGATTTTTAATATTAAGGTTCTGAAATTTTTATCAGTAACTAGTTTAATGAAGTAATACATACTTAAAATATCATGGAATAGATTTTACTACTACTTTGAAGAAGAAACTAAAGTTTGTGTCTGAATTTGCAATAAAAATGGCCTCACTTTTAAACAGTCAAAACTTAGTAAATTTTATAGATTAGAAGGAAAGAGAATACTGAATAGAATATTTTGACATGTGATGATAGCTAAGGAAAAAAAATATATTAATTAAATATAAGCAAATATATTCAAATTTTCATTTTGAAAAAGGGGGGTTGAAAACTTTCCCATATACTACTAGTCATTAAAACGACTTTATAGAAAAATATGACCATACGAACTTCTTACGACAGGGTAGAAAATAAAGAAGATATATTTGTCTTTAAGTTAAGACCATTTTTGACCGTGTGTTACCGTATATCGTCTTATTTTCGCGGTTGTAAAATTTCGCGATTTTCATTGAATAAGGTATACGAAATATTTTGGCGTTTATTATTTTGGCGGATTCCAAACTTTTATCAATAACTTTGCACGTGCACATTTAAATTGGCGAAATTTATTTTGGCGATTTTGTTCTATCCGCAAAAAAAGCGATTATTTATACCCCGCGAAAAAAACCCGCTATACGGTATTTGGGGAAATTAAACTCGAAATCTAGACGACTTTTTACACTTCTGTCATCGCACTAGAAAGCTTAATCAAAAGACAGCGGTTGTACATCTGGAAATTTCTAATAACACAAGACACGTTATATATATTGAGGGAGCTGTTATATCATATTTTTTTTCAAAACAAATGTCCATAAGGTAATTAATAATCCTTTATAAAGAAATTGATGAAGGTGTTTGACGGAAGTTTAATGATCTCGCGTTCATTTAGTTGCTGCCAAACATTCATTTTTCTTTGAATGATAACGAAAAACAAGCGAATATCCTATGTAACTATAATGTGATATTTATTCCCGCTATTTGAACTTAAGCAATATGGTGTTGAAAGATGGCAAAATTAAAATAACTACATATAAGGAATGAAAATAGTGTCCTACGTGTACACATACTTTCTATGGTTGTTCATTAAAAACACTCATCTATTCTCGCTACCGTTTAAACGTGCGTATTTTCATTAAAAAAAAACGTCGTTAACTATGATATGCAAATATCAAGCAAAAAAAATAGTCTTTAAGATAATTGAAAATTCAAATTTTATATTTAACATTGTAAAATTTTGGGATTTGAAACATAACAATGATTTTTCGTTAAATATTTTTCTTCAGATTGAGGAAACCTTGGTGCACGAATACAACCTACTCAGACGGATGTCGCATCCAAATATAGTCACTTGTTATAATTTGTTACATACAGGTGCTAAATGGTATTTGGTTATGGAATTTATGGACATGGTATGTGTTTTAGTTCTATTTTGTTAATGTTAACTACAAGATCAGATTTATTTTTTTTCAGTAATTTCCGTCATGCATTTACCTTAAGCTACGATTACAATTAAAAACAGTTAACTTTCTGTTCGTTATATAATGAATGTCTAAATAAAGGCAACAGTAGTATACCGCTGTTCGAAATTCATAAATCGATTGAGAAAAAAACAAATCCGGGTTACAAACTAAAACTGAGAGAAACACATCAAATATAAGAGGAGAACTACGACACAACAGAAACACAACATTAAAATGTAACACACACAGAAACGAGCTATAATATAACAATGGCCATTTTCCTGACTTGGTACAGGACATTTTAAGAAAGAAATGGTGGGTTGAACCTGGTTTTGTGGCTAGCCAAACCTCCCGCTTTTATGGCTATGTTAAATATAACATTAAAATGACAACATTACATGACAGGACTACAATACAAATAAATAGGAGAACATATAGGACAGAGAAACATACGAATAATAGCTAACAAAAGCTACCAGGTTTAAAATTAAATACGCAAGATGCGCGTTTCGTCCACACAAGACTAACTAGTGACGCTCAGATAAAAAAAAGGACGAAAGCCAAAACAAGTACAAAGTTGAAGAGCATTGAGGACCAAAAGTTCCAAAAAGTTGTGCCAATTACGGCTAAGGTTATATGTCTGGGATAAAAAAATCCTTAGTATTTAGAATAATTCAAACTTATGCAAACAGTACATTTATAGAAATGACTATATAATAGAACTACATGATAACACCGAAGTGGTGACAACGGATACATAAAACAACATAAACCAGCACAAAAAAATTCACAGCCGATTTAGCCAAAGAGATCAACGCAAAAAAAGTGACGTCACATTTGAATTTCTGAAATTTCCCCAAAATAGGATAGAATTAGGATAGAATTAGGATAGAATTCAAGATTTGGTTTATAATAATCATATAACATGTATTAATAACAATGAAAATTACAATACTAATTAATATAAAATGTGGTAGTAATTAGATAATTAATAGTATTTATCTAGCTATGTCGGTGTTTCTTCTAAATCAAACTGTAAACCAAATATATCGTATATATTAAGTTGACCCAAACTAAAATCTAATTAATGAACTGGGTGATTAATTATCTTTACCAAAACACACGAATACAACAGAAAAAAATAAGATTTACAACTACAAACGATAAGACATTTGACAAAATCCGATGGAAATAACAAATATAACATCAAAACTAAATACATGAATTTTGGATAGAAAACAAATTAGAACAGAGTGTAAGTTCATTAGACATAATGCCAGTCAATACTGAGCACGTCATTGTGTACATTTTAAACGTTTGGAGGATGTGTTTTTAAACAAACAGCTGGCATTCCTTTGGGAAAAAAACTGTGGTACGTTTCTTTTCTACATGTTTCTTTATGTACATTTGATAAACTTCATACAGGAGCCTCTAATGATTATCTTCTAACTACACGTTCTACTATATAAACTATACCTCTTACAAAATATCATTTAGAAACTATGTTAAATGCATATTCTATCGAAATTTAGATAAAGAAAACTAAAGATAAATAAAGTCAACAGTAGTATACCGCTGTTCGAAAACTCATAAATCGATAGAGATAAAAACAAATCCGGGTTACAAACTAAAACTGAGGGAAACGCATCAAATATTAGAGGAGAACAACGACACAACAAAAACACAACATTAAAATGTAACACACAGAGAAACGAACTATTATATAACAATGGCCATTTTCCTGACTTGGTACAGGACATTTTAAGAAAAAAACGGTGGGTTGAACCTGGTTTTGTGGCATGCCAAACCTCCCGCTTTTATGGCAACGTCAAACACAACATCAAAACTACAACATCACATGACAGGACCACAATACAAAAAAATGGGAGAACATATAGGACAAAGAAACACACGAATAATAGCTAACAAAAGGTACTAGGCTTAAAATTCAATACGTCAGACGTGCGTCTCGTCCACACAAGACCAACCAGTGACGCTCAGATGAAAAAAGTTTGAAAGCCAAAACAAGTACAAAGCTGAAGAGCACCGAGGACCAAAACTTCCAAAAAGTTGCGCCTAACACGGCACGGGTTTTCTGCCTGGGACAAGAACATCCTTATCATTTAGAATAATTTATAATTTTGCAAACAGTAAATTTTATAAAATGACTATATAATAGATATACATGATAAAACCAAAGTGGGGACTAACTACAGAATAAAAACGGATACATTACATAAAACAACTTATCCAACACATAAAAAAATACATAGCCGAATTAGCCAAAGCCTCAACGCACAAAGTGACGTCACATTTGAAATTCTAAAAAAACACACAAAGTGACGTCACATTTGAATTTGTAAAAATATTTCCCAAAAATCAGATAGGATTAGGATTGATTAAAGATTAGATTTGTAATACTAACATAACATTTATTAATAACAATGAAAATTACAATACTTATTAATATCAAATGGTAGTAATTAGATAATTAATTGTATTATCTAGCTATGTCGGTGTTTTTACCGTGAGTGAGGTCTACCTCATACCTTATATCTCATATCTTGGCGTACATCTAGACATTAACAATGAGGGTTGGTTGAGAACAAAACTTTAGGAAAAAAGTAGTGATATCAGTTTTTTATTGCGATTATTCCATTTATATGTAGCGACATTCCAGCAGCGCCTGTATATGAAATACATATCTCCCAGTTTAAACGATACTCAAGAGCATCCGTTTTCTATGATTTTTTCATTAATTGAGGGTTGCTGCTCACAAGCATGCCAATTAACCATGGGTTCCATGTGGTTAAGCTGAAGTCATTCCTTCGAAAGTTTTTTAAGGACGCATTTTCTACATAAGAAAATGCCTGTAACAAGTCAGGAATATGACAGTTGTTGTCGTTTCGTTTGATGTGTTTGAGCTTTTGATTTTGGAGTCCAGTATTTTTGTGATTTTATTTTTTACGAATTTGTTGGCCGCTGTCGAATATGCATTTTGTCATATCGGGACCGTTTATAGCTGACCATATGGTATGAGTTATGCTTATTGTTGCACGATGATCTATAGTTTCTTACATCCAATGCTATTTGGTTTGTGATGGATAGTTATCGTACAACACTTGTTTTACATTAACGCCGATTTGTAACAAGATTACATTGTACATGAAAAGGCCATGTAATGAGCAATCAAATTACACCAAAAAATGTTTAATACATCTAGAGGTCGACATACTGTCTTTAATTATATAATTATATTAAAGAGGCTATACAATATGAAAATCCTAACAATTACTTTAGTTTAAGAAAGTTGTGAATAGACTCGAAATTTCAAAGCACATGACTCCTGAACGGATAAAACACATTCAGAAATAACTAAAACAAAATTTAGTGTAGATTAACTATAAACTAATAAAGCTACTACCAAACAATAAGGGCTTCGGTGGCCGGGATGTCTAACTAGCTCATCTACTTAAATCTATATTGTCTTAGGGAGGATTAAATATCACTCTGATTCAAACAAAAAATTCTCTGAAACTGACATTATCAAGATGCTTGATTTCTTGATTGACAACATATTTGTTACGTTTGGAGGACGTGTTTTTTTAACAAACTATCGGCATTCTCATGGGAACCAAGTGTGCCCCTCTTCTTGACGACTTGGTCCTTAATTTTTATGAGGCTGACTTTATACAGGAACTGCTTAAGGAGAAATAAAAGAAGTTAGCAGTATCATATAACTTTACTTTCCGCTTTATAGATGATGTTCTCTCACTAAATAATTCAAAATTTTGGTTACAATTTTGAATGCATCTATTCCATCTAACTACACTACCAGGAATTTACACAGCGTTTACATGTACTTTAAATGCCACTACATATACAGTACTGGGAAAAAATATCATCAATCAGTACATTTCTTACCCATACCTTTTCAGTACATATCTTACCCATACCTTTTCAGTACATTTCCTACCCTTACTTTTTCAGTGCATATAATTATATGCATGTTTTCAGTATTGTTGAGAAAAAGTTGTTTTCAGTACTGAAAATTTTAGTCATTTTTCAGTACTAAAACATTTTAGTCATTTTTCAGTACTGAAAATTTCAGTCATTTTTCAGTACTGAAAATTTCAGTCATTTTTAGTACTGAAATTTGTTATCATTTTTCAGTACTTCATATATAATTATTTTATAGTTTTCTAAAATACTTAAAAGCATGTGAAAAGGTGAAAAAGGCTTCATCGTGACGTTATCAGATCCGTAAATCTTACGTCCGGAGTCGGTTTTTAAAACGCTTCTGAGATGTAGATTATGATGACGAGGACGCTGGCAGAAGACTGTCCTACAATACTTTTTCTTGTTTAACTTGTGAACAAAATCCATGACATATGCATCAACGAATAATCAATGAAATAAAACCGGCATCGCACACACATGCTTTATTGTCGCAGAAGTCAACGACAACGAAAGCCCGCAATGAGAACAGTTTTAATCTTTTGCTGACGACAACTTCAAAAACTACTCATTTTGAATTGAGAACTGTCAACAGATCAAGGAAGCTGGAGATTTTAGGTAAAGAGTTACGACTTAAAACAAAGAAGTTCACATTTCATTTGGTTAGTATGGTATGGTGATCATGAAGTTGAATTTAAATATTCCGTTCAAACTTATGGCATTTTTAGTTTATTACAGGGCTATTTTTTTTTTTCTGTGACGCATTTCAAGACGTCATAATTATTTGACTAGGTCAGGGTTAGTTTAGTTTTCAGGGAACAACCCAGGGGCGAATTCATGCGCGGGGATGAAAGATAGAAATAATGGTTCAAGCGAAAGAATAGTTTATTAAATTGTACAAAATGTATCATTATTTAATATCTCTGTGTCTATATTTTCTCACTTGCAACCTAAAATTTTTTGCCAAAGTATGCATAAACGGTCAAGGCCCC